TTGTTTTTTCTTATTCTATTATTTTTTTATTGTATTGAATTTTGTGCTACAAAGTATATTATTATCAAAACGTTTTCTTGAATAGAGAATATTGTCTACCAAAGCAAATCAAATAAAACAGAGTTATTAATTAATACTTTTAACCAACTATATTAATTGAGAGGTTGAAAATCCAAGAACACAAATTGAGATATGATTTCTTATCATCGAATAAGTAGAAGAAAAAGACAAACATGTACCTTTTTGTCACTTGAGGTTCTTTCCGAAACATGTGGTTTTCTTATAAACGAAACTGTTGTTTTTCTAATTTATGTATTGCATTGTTGTGTTCTTAATTAGATTTTGTGTTTGTTATCATTGTCGGTTTCTAAGCTCTTCTGTGTGCTTTAATTAGGTTAGTGAAATTAGGAAATTTGTAATAGTAATTGACTTCATCTATGTTAGGTTGTAAAGTTTCTATGTAAATCTAAATAATAAGTCCGATTTTCACCAAYGTGAATTGGAAAAGAATGAACAATATACTTAAACAAGATACAACAKTCGATTGTGAATAATTTGTGGTTGCATCAAACTTTCATTAAGCCAATCAATCATATATATTTGGAGAGTGATTCATTCTTAAGCCTTAGATTCTCGACCATTTTACTGATTGTACTTTCTTGAGCTGTAAGTTATTCTGCAGTTAATTACAAACCATTTGTTCCTAAGTGGGAGAAGGATTTCTATGTGTGATTGGTTCACTGTGGAAAGTACTTGAGGTGAGGYGGTTTTACGTATCTAAACGCTAGAACGGTTTTGTTGATGACCTCATATCTCTCAAATCTTTTACGTAGACAAAAAATAAATAAATCAAATGGGACTTTATTGATCAAGTTGTTCTATSAAACTCCTAAACTACTATTTTTTTTATATTGATGGCATAAGGTGACTAAAAACATAAATATCAAATTTTACATGTTTGCTAGGATTCTAGGGTTTAGGATACATGTATTGTTTTCAGTATTTTATACGTATTTGTGAGGTTTTAGGCTTACATATTAGAGTTTAGTACCCCCATTCATTTGTTAAAGGATATAAACTGTTTTYAATATTTTACATGCATTGTGAGGGTTTACGCTCATATATTTTAAGAAGAAGAAAAATAATTTATATCTTGAAATGAGATGCATAATGATGACACCAAGAAATCTCTAAACTAAAGTTTTGCTTGAGGATGTTACGCTGAGGAATTCTAGCCACTCGACAGAATTCGTCACCAATGTATATGTGTTAGGTTTTCATTTTTTGTATTTTTTAATCTTGCTATTCCTTGTGTGATTATAAGTTTTGTATAAAACTTACCGACAAGTATCGATGGGTAATCGACGCTCACGATAAGATTTTGAAGATAAAAAAAAAAAATTAAAATGTGTTGAGGTACATCCTTCGGTATGGGAGAGACTTGGATTCGATCTAATAGCCTATGTTCCATATGTTATTCAAGTTGTTTCTAATAGCCTATGTTCCATATGTTATTCAAGTTGTTTTTGGCAGTGATGATAACGATGAAAAAGCGTTACAATAGATGGTATAATTTATGTTTCATTTATAAAATGTASTATTGATTTTATAAATAATATTATGTTCGATTGTTCAATTATATTTCATGGAATGTTATAGGTATAGAAGACATCACAGGTAGGACTTGGTCGATGGGTAAGGGGTGGGACAAGACGAATAAGGACTGGGACGGGATGCGGGTAAGRRTTGGGGCAGGACGGGTAAGGGTTGAGATGGAACGCATGTAAGAGGTGGTACGGGATGGATAACGGCTGAGATGGGATGCGGATAAGAGA